TGCAAGATCTTTTTTATAAAAAGAAAATTCTATCTTTCAATGTTACTCTTTGTACTTTTATTCTGAAAGTAATGATAAAACAATATAGAGAATATTTTCTTTTTGAGAGTAAAAATAATCTAAGCAGGCATCTGTCCAAAATGCGTTGTCTGCATACCCATTTGTGTTTTCTTTCCCTAACTTCCATGCAGAAAACATAGCACAAATGGGAGGAGACAAAGAGAGGGCCCCCATGCAGGCTTAGGCTATATCTTGGTGACGTTGGTGGCCTAGTGGTTAGGCTCTCACACTCGCAACTGTAAGGTTGTGGGTTCAAATCCTGCCATACCCCCCAGGGCGGTGCTACTGACTGAAGTATCTTTAGGCCATTTCTAAAGGGGGGAACATGTTCTTATGCACAGTAGAATTGTAAATGGGCTGATTCATCAATGTCATGCACATAACTGTGCCTGAACTGCAACAGGGAACTGCTGCTTTTCCTTTCCTAATCCTTACTATTGTCATTTTCCTCTACTTCTTTTGTATGTTTGTCACACTCTTGGGACCCGCTATTTTCGGGATGCCTTGATAGTCGAAGCAGATTTTGTTCTGTTGAAGCTAGATAGGTGAGCAGAGTAAACCTGATTCCCTGTTGACATCCACCCCTTGGCGCTCATATGACCTTATGCAGTTGGGAGCGCTATAAAACATCTACTAAAACTAAACTAAAACATCCTGCCAGGGGCCCTACGTTGTGTTTTTAGGAAAGGCACTTTACACAACCTTTCCTCACTTCTCCCAGGAGAACTGTATGCTTGCTGGGAATGTTTCTGAGTGTTCTAGGGTCTGCTTGGGCAGTAATACATTTAGTTGTAAAACGCATAGGGCTTGCTGTAGAGTGTGGGTATGTACTACCTACATATGCAGTCATTTTTATTTGGTATATTATTATTATTATAAATGTAAAATGTTGGTTTGACCAATATGCAGAAGACCAATGTCTCTAATTTCAAAAGGAAGTCAGAATACCAAATTGTACACTCCTTCATAGCAGTCTTCATAGATCTAGGCCTGAAAAGTGCGAAGACAAGTTATCATTATTTTCATGTTTCATGATCTGACCACATTCGCAGGATTCCAGGTTAATAATTATCTTTATTTTTATGTCCATTATTATTGTTATTCTTGTCAACTGGGTCATTATTGTAATTTGATATTATCATAAACTAAATAAATAAAACAGCAACATGCTGTCAAGCATCATCACTTGTGTCAGAAATGTTTGGTTCCATGTAAAAGAATGGCATTTTTGTACATTATTTTATGTCATTGATTTGACAATGATTGGAGCTTATATGTTCTTAAGTGTACCTTTCAAAAAAACAATGTCATACTATTGTGTTGTGTGTGTACGTAATTTTATCTCAGTGTGTTTACTTTTTGTCTGGGTCCTATTTCTTAAAAAAATAAACAAGTGATGCTCTGTAGATGTTGAAAACAAAATTTTAAGTATGTGTGTGTGTGTGTGTGTGTGTGTGTGTGTGTGTGTGTGTGTGTGTGTGTGTGTGTGTGTGTGTGTGTGTGTGTGTGTGTGTTGCTACACATTCCTTTCTTCCTATATCAAACCATGAAATAGGCAAATGATGCTATCCCCTCTCAATCTCAAAGCGTATTCTTTTTCTGTGTATTATAAGTGTAAGTCCTACACATCTAAACTGAATAAACGTTTAATTAACAATAAGTGTATCTTCAGTTTGTTCGTTTTAATGTAGGATCCCTTCAAGTTGACTTCAAGGTATCCTTTTCAAGTTTGGTTGTTAGGTTTGTTCGTTTTTGTTTTTGTTTGGGGTTTTTTAAGGGGGGGGGGGGGTTGGAGGGGTCTTGGGGTTTTTTCTTTCTTTTTGTGTGTGTGTGTTTTTGGTTTTTGTTTGTTTGTTTTTCGTGGGAGCCCTTCAATGTATTATTTATGATTTTTGTAATGAAGTGTGTTTAGTTGGGAGCAGGGCATTGTATAGGGGAGAGTCATGGGGAGAAGTGGGGTGTGGAAATGTCGTATGGGAAACGAGGACAGAAAAAACGTTCTAGTGGATCTCTATCTCTTCCTTCCAGGGTTGGACTACGTCAAAAATCAGCTCGGTCATTTTTACCCATGCTGGCCCACAAATGGGAACTAATAATTCTATCATAATTTACACGTGTTGCTCATCATGAAATGGGGGGGGGGGGGCGGGTATAGCGAATGTGTGTTTGCGTGTGTGTGTCTTTGTGTATGTGTGTGTGAGAGAGACAGAGACAGAGAGAATGTGTGTGTGTCTGAGTGTGCGTGTGTTTGTGTGTGAGTGTGAGTGTGTGTGTGTGTGTGTGTGTTTCAAAAACACCCAGGTTCTATACATCATGTATACCGGGTAAGCAAATCAAAAGTATTTTTAGCAGCATGACAGCATTCAGCATGTCTTAGAAAGTAAGTTTTGCCGCAACTGCATCAATGATATTATTTTCATCGTAAAGTTCGACCAGATTCGCCGATTCCACAGACATCAGGATGAACGCCTCAATATGTTCTAATCTGCTCGTGTCGTTGTACATGTATGTGTACATTGTTTGTACTTCTGAGACGACTTTTGGTTCTCTTCGAGGCAGAAGAAGGACTGGTCAGTCGTGCTACCTGTGACACAGGCAGGGTTAGAAGAATTAGTTGCAGCTAATTGTTTTTGGTAGGCCTACACCCCCCCCCCCCCCCACCCCAATGCTTTTGTGCCCTTCAGTGAAGAGGTTTGGCAGAAAGAGAGAGAGATAGGGGAGGGGACATTTTTTTTGCATGGTATCAGGCGCGGTTCGTCCGTACGGTAGAGCACGGACGTGCAGTGCCGCCCAAAAATGTTTAATGTTCTATTACGTAAAACACCCACAATAATCAAATAAAAGAAGCCAGAAACAAACACTAGCCAAAATATTATATGAAAACAAGGTCCTCACTGGCGCCATAACTGTCATTTCTGTGTCTATAGCGCCGTAAAATATCTACAATACCATGCCAAAGTCCACGCGCTTAAGCTAAACATAATAGGATATTCAACAGTGTAACCTGACCTATAAATCGCTCTTGGGGATAACCCAAGCGATGATGACACTCGTAGCGAGTTTGGCGATAACAGTAACAACAGAGGGAAAGTAAAGAAGTAGGACCTACCAGTGGCGGTCTCCAACCACCCACACAGTTTTAGGATAGGTGGACTCCGGACCAATGAAATGTTGCCTGACATCGCCATGTGTTAGGGTAAGGTTAAAAAGGAAGAAGAAAATTTATGGGCTGACTGGGTTCGACATTATTCCAAGTACACTTTCTACCTAAATCTTCATTTTTTGGGTTAGTTTGGTTACATACAGCAGTTTGTGTAATATTTTTTTAAAAGTAGATTTCTAGAACTAATCATGGATTCACAAGATCGATATTCTACTAAACTTATTATCTTTTTTTTAGCGAAGGGGATTATTTTAAGACGTTTAAGGAAAAAATAGAGAAGTGATTATGAACTGGACACACCAAATATTTTAAGTTGGTAGGAAATTTTGAATTTTGCCCGGGAGACGACCGAAGCCTACTCTTATCGATTTTGGACCACCTTGGGATCTTTAATGTGCGCAACTTGCATACGGGACCTCCGAGATTTTTCGCCCTTGTCCGATAAGGCTATGAGTAGATCATATATATACCATAAGATCGGGGGTGTAGCTGGAAGACAGCAGTAAGAATGAGCCAGGGAGAAGCAGTAGAAAAGCTGCAGAAAGAGTCATGAGCCCAGAGGAGGGGACAAAGGAGGTGAGGGGGTGGGGGCAGGAAGTGGAGACGTAAGCACACGATAGAACATTGTTAGAGAGCAGGAAAGGATGTGAAAGTAACAAAAATTAGAGAAGAAAATTTTCCGTCGATATCCGAATTCGAATCCGGGACCTATTGAATGAGAGGCGAACACCTTAACCTCTTGGATGCCAAAGCCCTCAATGGTATGTTTGTGAAATTGTTCTGTATTGGTATAGAGTTGTGTATTTATGTATCTCTATCTGTTTATGTATGTATGTACGTATGAACACGTATTTATAATTATACCTTTATGTTTGTAAGTATGCCATTGCAACCCAAATTTCCAAACTGGGATCAATAAAAATGTAGTTTATTTAATATATCTATTGTTTAGTTCCCACAGTTTGTAAGGTTTACACGCCCTAATACTACTAATAGTGCACCAATCATTTCACAAAACTATGCATCTGTGCTATAGGGTGTCTGTCTGTTTCATGCCAAATTCATAAAAATTAAACCAAGCTTTTATGACGTCTGCTTCATGAACATGTAGGGAGACTTCGTACAGGGGATGGGACCTTGGTTCAGCGTCCTAAGTCTCCCGACGACTAATATTTTTTTTAAATACCTGTGCGCTGTATTCTGAAAAGTCCTTACTAGTAGTGGAATTCTGATTCTCTATGAAAAAAAAGAAATTTAAAAACGTTTACTTGTGTAGTTGTATTTTCCAGACTAAATCATGTCAAGGAAATAGGTTTTTTAAAGAGCACTTTAGTTTACAAATAGAGGAAATTCGTTATGCATGCATTTGATAAAAACTCAGTGTTTGTGTCATGCAGAAGCTATGAAGGCCTACAATGTGAAGAAATCTTCCCGGAAAGACTCTATTTAAAATGGTGTGAAGACATCAGTGCGTTTTAGAGACACTCGTTTACGACTGCTCAATTTTAGTATGATCCATTGGGGGGAAAAAACAACTCTCGGGTATTTGTGAGTGTGCCTAAAGAAGGTACCAAAAGTCGGATTTTAACCATTTGGAGTTAAGGGTTGTACATAAAAGGACATTCAATGTCCACACAGTGGTTTTTTAAGTTTTTGGATTTCTCAAGTAGTTTTTTTTAGATTATATTACACATTTTGCGAGGTAATAAAGATCTAATTTTGAGGAAATTGGCTTTTAAGTTTAGAACACATACATACTTGAAAATAAAAACCATGATCAAATGTTTCTAATGTATTTATTTATGGAAAATTAATTTCCAATTCGACATTCAGTTCACATCAATATCATGATTAGAATTCAATGGTAAAACATAGCGGGGAAGAGAAAACGTGCTTCTAGAATATATTTTAACACCTTTTAAAAGCAGTTGTCATCTTTAAAACATGCCCTACTCTCAAAATAATTTAAAATAAAACATGTAAAAGCCAAATCAATGAAAACTCTTTTAACACATTGTTAAAAAATAGTGAAAGTATCAAGAACACCATTTGGTGATTTTTTGTCTAAAAATGGTCTGTGGCGACTTTTGGTACCTTTCTTTTAGGAGGCACACACACACATTTGATAAAATGTTCAAGGATGTTCTTCTAACCCGATGTTTGTCATAATTCACAAGTCATGTCGAACATTATTCATTATAATCATGTGAGAAACATAGGAAATGAACAAAATCTACCCGCAAAGACAGGCTTTCTCGGGTCTGGGTCGAAGGTGGCGCCCTTCCCGTGGACCCGAAAGAATGTAACTTTGTTGTCATCGTGTGTCCACTTCGTTGGGAAAATGACTCCATTCGAGCACGTTTGGGATGCTATCTGGAGGCAGTTCAATCAGTTGCAGCCACGACCACGGACAGCTCCTCAATTGGCTTCAGCCATCAGCCAGGTGTGAGTACAGACCCCACGTCGACAAATAAACGCTCTTGTGAATTCTATGGGTCGAAGATGCAAAGCGTCTATGGCAGCCATAGGTCACACACGGTACTTACTTTCTGCCCTTTGGTCAAGGTCAAAGAAATGACATAGTTACGCTGCAATAAAATAGCCACCTATAGACACACTCATGACTGTGTAATTATTTGACGAATTAGAATTTTATTTACACATGACAAACCCCTGTCTAGTGAGAGTGTAGTGTGTTTTATTCATATTTCAGTTATTCGCGTTTCTTTTGCCTCAGAGTATAATTGTTAGCCAAAGTGACAGACTCGTGGAAGATTGTGGGTATAACAGCTGGTGTGGAAGCATCACCTATAAATCTTGATTTTTTAAAAACGTGTTTGTTTTTAAAAAAAAAGATAAGGCAAAAGCATGAACCAAACAGTAACCAAAGTAAGATGCAAACATCGGTAGTAGGAATACAAAACATTACATTCTACAGCATTGGGGACAAATGGAAAGAAAATAGAATAATATGATGCAATCAGTACAATATTATTAAGGTAAGAAACGAAACAAATTTTAAATAAATATAAAACAAAACAAAAACAAACAAGAAACAAATAGAGCCATATAGACTTCAATAATAACCTTGGAAATCCGAACTCTTCACGACAAGACACGCAGAAGCTTGAGTCAGTAAAGAAATGTACAATAAATTGCTCAAGTAAATGGATTCTTCCTAAAGGGAAAAGTGATTGTAATCTTTTACTTTATTGCACCGAAAAATTCTGCGCTTACATAATAACCAAACGCGCCTTGATGATATCCATACACCCAAGCACGTAAAGTGTGATTAATATGGAGCTACCTACGTTATGCCTGTGCCCAAACACGTTGACCAACCACGTTGGGACTATTTACAAACCTTCGCATTTACATTCTTACAACTTGTCTGAGGATATTCGAACATCTACTATACACCCTGCCGATCGAATTCAGTCGAATTGAGTCGGGGCCAGCCATAATTTTCTCTGCAGATAGGAACAAGCTATCGTTTAGTCTCAATACGAGCGAATCGTCTCGCGACCTTGAAAAGAAACATGTTTCTTGATTTTGAAGGCTACAACCGAATTTAGTCAAATTCAGTCGATCTGTGCCAAAATGGTTGCTTTTGTCATTCCAGGGAAAATCACTGGCTGGCCCCTACTCGTTAATTAATTCGATTAGCAATGCGCACCCGGTATAAACACATTTTATAAATGCCTATAGGTCTAGTCGCAAAGGGACTCCATTTACGTTGCGCTTACAAATATAGATCTAACTACAAATGTTTGTGAATATGTAACCTAACTCCTGTTTATCTAGAGTTCAATATGTGGTAAAATTAGGCATGTCTGATGCCCGGCAAGAGAAACGAAATATTTCTGGGGAAAAATAGAATATTGTACTAGAAGTGGCACTGACAACTCTCTGACACAAATGATTTTGATTTTTGCACCGTCCAGAAAACATTTGTTAAATGTCGAAAGGGGCGAAACATTCAGGAGAAAACGGGGCTGCAATAAAGGACCTTAAACTTTACAAGACAAATGCCCAGCATCTTGCAAATGTCCACATTCTCTTGCTTACAAAATGACCGTTTCGCTGTCGACCAAGGCCATAATCAGCACATTCCACGGAGACCATCAGATAATGCCTTCAGTTATAAATAAGCTTACGCCATAATAACTTTACAACACCCCCTCCAACAAAATCAACCAGAGATTTTAGGTGTGTCTTGGTGAAGACCATATATCAGTACTCAGACTCAAATCCATGTTTTTTTGTGTATACAGTGTAGTCCCATGACCCTGAAGGATGATGATACTGTCTCACTAGCATATGCACAATCAGTTCAATACGATGACGCACTCTCAGCGGACCACGTCAGATTTGTACCCTGGGCGCGTACTTCCCGGAGATAGCCTCTAAGCGAGAATCTGCGCTGACAAAAGCGTTCTGTGTCGGTGACAGCATGAAGATGGACGTCATGCCTGGGGAGATAACCGTTTTCTAGTTACCAGTACTGACGACATAGCGAGGCCGTTTCGTTGAAGACAAAACTAATTCTAAAAAGATTTCGACTCTCATTGACAAAATTTATATCAAATTTTACTAGAGCAAACTGCTTCAACTTCAACCTTGTCTGTTAGAGCCATACTGGATACTGCATCTCAACAGAAAATGGATATAACATTCTGGATAAAACAACGTCATCTCTCGAAAATTGGACCTGTGTCTTCTGTTGCAAGAGAAAGACGTAAGTTTTACTTCTTAACATAAACTGTCCAAAACGACCAAAGGCTTCATGCCAATTCTAGAACTATAAGTTACAAACGTAGGCATTCAGCAACATTCTGCTAATAGTATAAGCAGTATGCTCCCCCTCTGATTTTCTGACCCATACACTCAAACTAGAATCATTCTGACAAGTCGAACAAATAAGAAATGAAGGCCAACAACAGTGCTCGTGGAAAGTGAAATCTTACCAGGCGTCAGAGCTGCCATACCGCGCCGCATCCATTTCCAAGTAGAGTGCAGGTAATAGCGAATCCTCTTCTTGAGCTGATTAGGAAATATGAACAGTTCTTTCAGGGTTATGGATAACCATACCTGTCTTAAAACTGATATTCTGATTATTAAAATTCGCAGTCTAATGTTAATGGACCAGACCGTAAAAACTAATCATGCTACGCTACGCCCTACTACGCTATGCTATGCTGTGCTCAGCTATGCTACGTTATGTTTGTGATGTGAAGATAGTGATTACTCTCTTGAGATAATAACGAACAGGCTGTTTGGCGTAATGAATGCATTCAAAATGCTATATTATGCTGACAAAGCTGCATTTGTGCAAGTCTTTTGTTTTTTTTAAATAACTAAAAATAAAGAACAATTTTAAGTAAACAAAACTATGCTATGCCATGCCACGCAACGCTCAGCTATGCTGTCTGTTTGTCTGTCTGTCTGTCTGTCTGTCTGTCTGTCTGTCTGTCTAACATACTCACATTCTAGCACAAGTGTAAACATAATACATACTCATGATGCATACTTTATATATTCACTCACACACACACACACACACACACACACACACACACA